ACCGCATGCAAGAATATGGCAAAGGAATCCTCCTCCAGACAATCCTCATCATTGTCAGCACCAGAACATACCAGAACAATCTTCCTCTGCTTCGGCACCAGCGCCATCGCACCAGCAGTCCGCATCAGACAGGTCAACAAGAAGATGCCCTAAACCCTGCCCTAAACATCTAAATCACCTAGACCCCTAAATTACTGGTGCCCCAAACCCTTAAACTCCTAAACCCTAAACCCTCAAGAGCAGGACTCTCCAGAGCTTCCGATCTGTGGTGCCAGGCTCCAGCCGCCTCACGGCTCGGCGCTTGGGTGGCTGCCCTGGGGAAGAGCCCGGGGGCTTCTAGGGTTTGCTAGTGGTTTCGGGTTTAGGGGCAGGGGACGCTCTTTTTTCTTGGTGGGCCCTCTTGTATCCGCAGGAGTACCGGTTGAGATCTTCGAGGGCTGGGAACAGCTACAAATCGGAAGAGCCTGCGATAGTGAAGCTCCGAGTAACATGCCAGACTGAGAATGAAATACTAGCATCGATCCTTGTAATCTCCACCTCTATTTGTACCGCTGACCCCCCTACGCTCACGTGACCATCCGCGATCGAAGTGACGACGAATCACAGGCTCCGGACTTGTCAGCAGAATCCCGCAAGATCTCGTGGAGGTTGGCGAACCTGACCCCCAAAACGTTTACAATTTGGCGGAGCATGTAGGTGTGAACGTATATGTGCTTCTTCAACATGTACTCGTTCTCTCTTCCTCTGTCTCTCTCCTCACCCGGGGCTCTGTCATGCAGGATCCCGCAAACAAACACTGCACAATGAACTTTGAAAACTTGACCACTCACATCCAAACCATCAAGTAACCTTAACCCCAGAGCCTACACTCCTTTAAACCCCCAGGACAGAACACGACATGCCTCTGCATGTCTGCATCGAGCACGCGGAAATATCTGCCCAAGGCATCCTCCACCTCGGCGCCGGCAGAGTTCTCAGACTGCTGATGGTCTTGCAAACAACAGGCGCTTTGGGCTTCACGTCTTTGCACGGTGTCTGGGGTTGTGGGTTGATCGAGGAGAATAGGGCTCAAAGTGTAGTGTAGGGTTTGGAAGTAAGTTCAGTCGAGTTAAGGGCTGAACAAGCAGAGTCAGGCTTTAGGGAGTGGGGCGTGGGGATTTATGGAGTACCGACATGAGTTCAACAACGGGCGTGCGCGGAACGCAGCATGTGGCGAATAGATCAAGGGACGACTTTGACAGGATGGCGTTTCTGGGAATCTTGTTCTTCCAACTTCACTAAGTCTGCCAGGGTCTACAGCGATGCATGTGTGAGACGGCTTAATGCAGATAGTTTTAGGCAGGAGTGAAGCATTGGATCTGAGATATGACCACTCAGAAGACGTGGCCATGGTGTTTTCGGAGATCATGAACCATTTCCCTGGTCATCAGCTCGCTCTTTCTCGGTTATACCCGGCAAGCCAACCAGCCGACAATTCCCCCTAAACGTCAAATCCTACACAGGTCAACAAGAATATGCGCAAGCTGTGGTGGAAAAGGCTTGTGCCTCCGAGTAGAGGATGGAGTCCTTCACGTTGTTCCGCAGTTTCCGGAGCAGACCTCAGATTCCACTCAGGAAGTCTTGTCGGGGTCTGTTGGAGATGCGTCCGGCACATCGCCTCTCCCAAACATGGTCGGGAAACCGTATCCCTGCAGGCCTCCCCGTAAAATCCTTTCGGACCGCCTCTGAGAATGGCCAGTTGCAGCTGGGGAGCCCAGGACCACGACCCGGAAAGCAGGCATCTGGTCCATGCCTTGAAAGACGATGCCCTGCTACTAGTAGGACCTTACTTAACCCACCGTAAAGTCTCCGAGCCTCCTCTTGGAATGGGGAGTCTTGACAGTCACACTTGTTGAAGCACACTGCGCATTCCGACGGCAGGGGCTGGTGCTGATAGTGACGGGGAGCTGTCATTTGCGAGCGTAGGAAATGGATAGGGGCAGGATACAACACATGAGACCTGATATGGTGGTGATGATGACGTTGCTGCTGCTGACCATTCAGACATGCATTACGCTTGTGAGCATGCGCCCATCCAGGCTGAGACGAATGTACATGCACTATCGAAAGACGGCTTAGTTCTTGCCCAGGGAGAAGCACACCAGCACATAAACTGTGGCTGCATTTCGAGACATCCGTACACACCCAAACCCAAAACCCCAGTACATCCTAAGACCTATACCTATACCACGAAACTTGGAACTCTCAGAAGGACAATCAGCACTACAACACCCCTGGCGTCCAGGTTCGCAGGCCACTCAACGTCCGCTGCCTCAGGTCGAAGAAGACCTGCGGAGGGCGCCCAAAGGCTTCGGATTTTCCTTCTCGCGCCTGAAGAACCATTTTTTCCTCTGCCAAGTCGTCATAGAGTTAGCATTTTCGCTTGGGAGTGAAGGTAGCACCGCTGTTCCTGCTGTTGCTCTTACGATGATCAAAAGAGGACTTTGAGCTATCGGTCCAAGGCTTCGAATTCTGAGGGCTTTCTGAATGCATCCACGTCCGATGCAGTCTCTGTGATTCGTTTGCTGTGAGAAGGGCGGGATGGGGGCAGACATCTGTGCCTGCTGTTGAATGGGTACGATAGGATCTTATGGGCTTCAAGCTGGAAGCGCCCAAACCACAGCACCCAACATCCTGGATTAAGAGGGGCTTCTCTGTGCTGCGTCGGCTCCTTCTTCGCATGGAATAGATCACAAACCATGAGCCCCGAAATTCTGAGCATGGCCTTGCCAACGGAGATGCCTTCCTGGCTCTTGGTGTGTCAGGCTTGCCGTTTGTACGGGTAGGTTTTGGGTCCTTTGTTGTACACAGCATATTTGTAGCAACGATGGTACTGAAACCTGTTGCCCAGAGTATCAGGAAATCCTCCGGCCATTGCAGTTGCAGATAGTGATATCGACGTTGGAGGCTGAACGAGGACTGTCATGGGGCTTGTTTCTGGCCCCGACATCCTTAGAGCAACACAGAATCAGCTGCGTGACCGTGAAGCACCCTAAACCCTAAACCCTGAACCCTAAACCTAACGTAGGGCTCTAAATAATTACCAATACTATGTTGGGGGTTCCTTCTTATAATTATAGCATAATGGGCCCCAACAAAACCCTATTCCCAACCTCTGGTCTGCGAAGTCCGAAAGGAGAAGATGTTTTGAGGGATCCAGCCTCGTTGTCCATCTCTTCAAAGTCCTCCTCTTCCTGGCAGTATGGGGATTGGGTCCGGGTGTGCCAGTTCCGTCTGAGGTTCCATAGCCGCGGCCTCGATGTTTATCCATTACCACGGGTTTTGCTGCTATGAAATTGTCCCTGACAAAACCTACTCCGACAATCAGCTTGAATAAGGCATCACAACATGGCCAGGTTGGTTTATAAGCTGCCTCTACGATGGCTGTACGGACTCCGACTGTGGACGGACATGTCGTCTATGGCTTCAGCAGCCCGTCATAGCCACGGACTACTGCAGTAGTCATGATACGTTGTACCGGCACATGGCCACATGGCTTCTTATACTGGAGTTTTATCGAGCAGTAAGACTTAGTACAACCCTAGTTGATGCGACTAGAGGGGTACTTCTCGTGGTGATAGCACTGAAATCCAAGAAGTCAGTACACTACTCAACTGAACACCAGATTTAGAAATCTTAGAACAAAGCTGTTGAAAGACATGTTAATCCCCACCATCGCCGTTAGCAGAACTTTGACAACAGGAGCAGTAGCAGAGGCATTAGCAAGCAGCAGCAGGAGTAGGAGTAGAAG